ATTAAAAATTACATAACTGAGCGAATGACACTTAATGACAGTTGTCATAAACATGCATAAAAACCTTCATATTCATGACATGTGTCATGTCATGATTATGTAGGTGTCATGTCATGATTATGTAGGTGTCATGTCATGATTATGAAGGTGTCATGTCAGTCTTATGCACACCCCTTCAAGTAAAGTGTAACAGTTTTTTTTTTTAGATAATGTAATCTTGTTAAAATTGATTTCATAAAATTGGTATCGAAAAAAGTATCGTTCAGGATCAAAGTCCAAAGTCAAGGTATCGGTATCGATATCGAACATTTCTGAACGATACCCAGCCCTAACTGTAGCAAGAGAAGAACAGCCAGAGAAATAACCCGCAACTGTGACGAACAGCCAGAGAAATAACCCGCAACTGTGACGAACAGCCAGAGAAATAACCCGCAACTGTGACGAACAGCCAGAGAAATAACCCGCAACTGTGACGAACAGCCAGAGAAATAACCCGCAACTGTGACGAACAGCCAGAGAAATAACCCGCAACTGTGACGAACAGCCAGAGAAATAACCCGCAACTGTGACGAACAGCCAGAGAAATAACCCGCAACTGTGACGAACTGCTGAGAAATAACCCGCAACTGTGATGAACAGCTGAGAAATAACCTGCAACTGTGATGAACAGCTGAGAAATAACCCGCAACTGTGACGAACAGCCAGAGAAATAACCCGCAACTGTGACGAACAGCCAGAGAAATAACCCGCAACTGTGACGAACAGCCAGAGAAATAACCCGCAACTGTGACGAACAGCTGAGAAATAACCTGCAACTGTGACGAACAGCCAGAGGAATAACCCGCAACTGTGACGAACAGCCAGAGAAATAACCCGCAACTGTGATGAACAGCTGAGAAATAACCCGCAACTGTAATGAACAGCTGAGAAATAACCTGTAATGGTGATGAACAGCCAGAGAAATAACCCGCAACTGTGATGAACAGCCAGAGAAATAACCCGCAACTGTGATGAACATCCAGTAAAATAACCTGCAATGTAATGAAGAGCTGATAAATTGCTAATAACAGTAAGAAACATCCTTTGAATTAGGGCTGCACGATAAATTGCATGCAATATTTAATGCGCATCTTGTCAGTAATGCTGGTTCTGTAATCAGCGGTAAATCTACATCACGTGCGTGCTTTCACATTGAGCAGCATTTACTACACAGAGCTGTTATTCACTGACAAGCTGCACAAAACCACAATCATATATGGCTGTGTTTACTACACAAAGGCTCTTTGTAGTAAACGCTGCTCCATGTGAAAGCACGCACGTGATGGAGATTTACAGAACCGGCTTTACTGACAAGATGTGCATTAAATATCGCATGCGATTTATTGTGCAGCCCTAGTACCGACCCAGTGTTTACAAAGCGAACATGCAAAGAAAGTCAAACGCCCTTTACAAAAAAGGTAAGACAATGATGTTGGACGATTTTGAAGTTGGAGGAGAAAATGAGATGGAGTTTTTCGCCCTACCCTTCCTTTTTGAACCGGAGCACACAGACGAAGAGCTAACCGCGCGTGACCTTTCCAACGTGATTACGTCATGCGTGAAGTCGAGCTAGTGCAAGACGAGCATTTGTGGTTATAAAGTATATACATTTTTGTGTTTTTTTTTTTTTTAGAAAATGACAAATCGTTTCGCTAGATGAGACCCTTATTCCTCGGCTGGGATCGTGTAGAGCCCTTTGAAGCTGCACTGAAACTGCATTTCGGACCTTCAGCCCGTTGGCCACCATTGAAGTCTATTATATGGAGAAAAATCCTGGAATGTTTTCCTCAAAAACCTTCATTTCTTTGCGACTGAAGACATCCTGGATGACATGGGGGTGAGAAGATTATCAGGAAATTTTTATTCTGGAAGTGAACTAATCCTTTAAGAGCCATTCAACAAATGTTCAACAAAAGTAAAGGGGTTGTTCATGTAATCAGTAACTAAGAGCTTGGATGGCTCGCATTACACATCTATCGGAGCAAACACTGGCAATAAACAGGACACTTCAGAAGCAATTATTACACAAGGACCTCAATGGTCATATTGCTTCCATGTTCGTGATCATGCAACGATTCAAAAGTCGGTGCTGTTCCACCAAACAATGGCTGATCCTTGACTAACTAATAGCAGTGCTCACATATCCCATATTTGTTAAGAGAACCCTCGACAAACGAACACTGCACAACCAGTCAGTCAAGTCAAACAACAAAAGCATCCAGTCTCTGAAGCAGAAATCCAGTACACAAGCCATCCTCGTCCATGCCAACTATGAGCACTACACAGAAACCATAACAGTGCAGGTGACGTCACAGAGTGTGCTGGGGAACTCAGCTGACTCAGACAGCACATTTGGGCGTATTGGTGAGCTCTAAGTAGGCAGCTCATTAGGGATTGAGACACAGCTATAAACAGGAAACATATTTTTTCACTCTATTAATCGTGATACTTATAAAAACTACCTGTATGTGGCATTCAGAAGCCTTTTCTGGTCATACTGTTTCTGGTTTTTAAATATATATGTGCCTTGTGCCTATATGATGTTTAACTTCTGAATGTCGCGCAAATGCACAAAGACGCTGCAGATCCAGATGTGTGTTACTGTAACTGTTACTATGTAGACTGATGATCAGTCAATTCCACTCTAAACGTGGCTTTAATCGCCACGCACTCACAGACTATACAGTCTCGGCCTTGTTTTCTTACGTCTTTTCGGTCCTGCAAGCACTCGAGCACGGCCAGGTTGTTGTTCCAGGAGTGTTTGGGGCAGATCCGGCTCACGTCCTCCCGACAGGCCGCCTCCTCCGCGAGCTTCCAGCCGCCGCCGCGCCGTACCGAGGAGGCCCCATCCGGCGCCGCTGCTTTCCCCTCTCCCGCTCCATTTTTACCTCTTTCGGCATTATCTGCGGCGTTTTCAGTGTCCGATTTGCCTCCATGAGCAGAACCAATCCAGCCGCAGATGAACATCAACAGCAGCAGTCGCTGCACACGTCTACACGCCGCCATCTTCGCTGAGAGAAGTTACGAATCCTACTACGGGCAAGAAGATGCTCATGAATATTAATTAGCACGCGCTGACGTCGCTTTGCGGGTTGTCTTATTAATATTCATGAGCTAAATCCCCTATCGTAGTAGGATTCGTCAGTTCTCGGATGAAGTAGTGCGGAATTTGGGGTTCACGAACGGCACAGCGTTCGAGTCCAAACACGGGCAACGTAGACCGAGACCTAAAGATATTTTTATTTATTTATTTTTTACATTTATTAGATGAACGGAAGATAAGGAAGGCGATTATCCTGGAACAGGGAGTTCATAAATGGGCGGGGCTTAGAGGTCCAGACTTAGAGGTCAGGTACGATGGGTAGAAGTATTTTAATGTTTTAACTGTATATTCTCAATCAAACAACTGTTTATCGGTGCCTTTATTCAGGTAAAATTATTATCCAGAAGGCTGCTGCAGTAACACATAATATGGTTTTGTCACCTGGTTCCTGTAACTTTTCTTAGCGATGATCAAAATGGACCAATCACAATCGTTTGTGATTACAGTCTAGTAATTTATTTCATTTATCGAGATTATTTTTTGTGTTCGGTTTCAATTTCATGTCAGACAATATTTCTGGATATAATACTTCAACTGTTCTATCTGTTATAAAGCGAACGTATGTTCCAAAAAAAAAAAAAAATGAGTACATGGCATTGCGCCCTCTGTAGGAAGACGAGTCTCAGTTTATATTCTGCAAAAAACCGCTTTTTACAAACAGTAACATTTTTTTGACGCAACCTCAGAATTATGTTGTATTATGTTTTAATACACTGTATCTATTATTTGCGCCTGCCCGTATATTTCAATTACAGCACATACCTTACAAAAATGCTGTTTTCTCAAATAAGTTTTTTCCCCTCATTCACTGAATCAGAAATCTCTGCCTAAGTATCACATACACTAGACTTTACGTATATATATATATATATATATATATATATAAATTCTGAAGGTTTTTACAGTGCTGAAAAACGATTAATCGCGATTAATCTCATTCAAAATAAAAGCTTTTGTTTACATAATACATGTGTGTGTGTACTGTGTATATACTTTACGTATATATATATATATATATATATATATATAAATTCTGAAGGTTTTTACAGAGGCTATAACATTTGCTCGATTTATAGCATGTTATTCTTAAAATATGCCCTGTTGAAAAAAACAGCATTTGCTGGTTAGGTATGTTTTGACGCTGGGATGCTGGTTTAAGCTGGTCCTTTGCTGGTTTAAACACCAGCAAAGGACCAGCTTAAACCAGCATCCCAGCATCAAAACATACCTAAACAGCATATGCTGGTTTTTTCAACGGTGGTGAAATTAACTTTTTTTTTTCTGGCTATATTGACAATATTTTCTGATTTATGTGCTAAAAAGATATATCCAACATCCCCTTGTAAAAACCTTTAAAGGGATAGTTCACCCAAAAATGAAAATTCTGTCATTAGGAACACAAATTAAGATGTTTTTGATGGAATCTGAGAGCTGTCTGACCCTCCATAGACAGCAAGGGTACTACCACGATCAAGGAACAGAAACGTAGCAAGGAGATCGGTAAAATAATCCATGTGACATCAGGGGTTCAACCGAAATATTACGAAGCTTCGTTTATGACGTTTAAGCTTTGATTTAAACGTAAACAGCGTATCTGCGTGGCGCAGCTGACACAGAATATCATACGCTGTTTGCGTTCAGTGGATACTGTCCAAAATGGCGCTACAGGGTGATGCGGAGGAGACGAATTGTTGAATAAATTCGTTATTTTGTTTTATTTTGCGCACAAAAAGTATTCTCGTAGCTTCATATAATTATGGTTGATCCACTGATGTCACATAGATTATTTTACCGATCTCCTTGCTACGTTTCTGGACTTGGGAACATTTCAGTTGCGTTGCTGTCTATGCAGGGTCAGACAGCTCTCAGATTCCATCAGAAATATCTTCATTTGTG